ATAAATATTTATCTCTGTGTCTAGTTAGTTGCAAAAAAACAAACTTCTCTCTGTAATATGTATATTTGTTGGATGTTAGAGCTCCTCAGATTATCTCACTTTCTTGTTTCCTATGCTGTCTTTCCACATTTGCTTTTTAGTTCAAACTTTGGAAAAAAACAATTGGAATCTTATTTTAAAATATTTTTTCATATAAGCAATCATAATTTTAATTTACTGATTTTTAAAAATTTCTCCAGTTACACCTTTTTAAAATCATATCATGTACTTATTTCAAGAATTCAGCCTTATCTTTTCTCTCTCTAAATATATTATAGTTTTATTTGAAATTTTCAATTCTATTTTTTTAGATTTCCTTTCCCTTTCCTCTCTCTCTCTGTCTCCTGCTGTCTCTCCCTTCTCACCTTACTCCTCAAATTAAAGATATTCCTTCATTAAATGCTACTTCATATTTAAATACGAGTCAGTAAAAAGCAAATTAGAGATTCCCTGTGTGGGAGGATGGCAAGTGGGGAAGAGTTGGCCTTAACTTCTCTGCTTCACTTTAGAGAAATGAGATGACAAACAGTTTTTTGTGTTTTGTTTTGCTTTTTGCCTGTTTTTTACCGATTATCTGCCCCCAATCCAATTGGAAAACCTCCATATGTCATTATCTGTGTGTCATATCCCCGAACTCTCTATTTTATCCAGAGAGGAATCTTCCAGTCTCTAGCTTTGACGATAACTATCTTATTCCTTGCATTTAGGAGCAGGGAGAGAAAGGAAGCTGGGAGCGCTATCATTACTATTCAAAATGCAGACATTCACTTCATCTCCCTGTATTTTTGGTCCCACATCTGACCTCCATCCTCCCCTGTGCCTGGTGCACTCAAGTCCAGAACTTGTAAGGTTCAGTTCCTTAGCATATAAACCTCTGTTCTCCTGGGATTGGAGGAATGGAAGGAGAAGAGAATAGGAATGAAATAATGTCTGACCACAGGAATACAGAAGAGAGAGGGGATATGAAGAAAAACTACTCTACACACAGTAGTTTCATTTCCATCCCTCCTTCATTGACACCTTCCCAGGTGCTGTAAGCTGCAAGTCTTTCCTGGGCTCCTAGGGAGGATCCTCTGGTTTATCCTTGAAATATCCTTCTCCAAGTTTAGAGGGTATAATGACCCCTGCTCTGCTATGCCAGTTATTACTCCTTCATCCACTTTCAAATTTGTAAAAGTTCATAGAAATCCCTTGTCTGCTCTTGTCTCCTCATTTTTCTCTTTGTAATGTTGCTTTTTTAGCTACTAAAAATTTCCTTTAATTTTATTTTAATAGAGTTTGGGGAGAGAGAAAAAATAAATGAGTATAGTCATTCCCATTCTGTTATAACCAAATTCAAATATGACATTTATTATCTACTTATTTTTGCTTTTTCATTTTTAAAGACACATTTAGTAGTCATTGAGTGACTACCATAATAAAATTATAAGAACAACATTAATAACTTTCGTTCTTAAAGTAATATAGTGTTTTAGAATTTTAAAAGCTCTTTGGCATTTAATCCTCCATGTGGAGTGGATGTTTTTATCCTTATATTACATGAGATAATTGAGGTTAATAGAGTTTAAATAATATGTGTATGGCTGCATAATTAGTTGACAAAGGGCGTAAAACTGGAACTCAAAATTCCTGATCTTACTCTGGTACTATTTTTAAGACATTATAAAAGCATTTTGATAAATACCTGCATGAAATGTAAGCATAAAAATGTACAAACACGAAGACCAAAATTTTGCCCTCAAAAAGCTCTTAATGTAAGAAGAAAAGTATAGTATCCCCCTTATCTTATCTATAATTTCACTTACAGTGGTTTCAGTTACCCATGGTTAGCCATGGTCCAAAAATAGCTGAGTACAGTACAGTAAGATACTTTGATAGAGTGTGAGAGACCACATTCACATAACTTTTATTACAGTATATTGTTGTATTTGTTCTACCTTATTGTTAGCTATTTTTGTTAATTTCTTACTGTTCCTAATTTATAAATTAAACTTTATCATAGGTGTGTATATATGGGGAAAATGTATAAATAGGATTTAGTACTATTGATGGTTTCATGCATTTCCTGGGGTTCTTAGAACATATCCCCTGGGGGAATAAGCAGGGACTACTATATATGATATTTTAACTTTAATATAAAAATAATAAAATAAACCCTTCAACATTAATAGGCTGTGCCTCTAAGATGCTTAGAGATTGAAACAGAAGGAAGATTAGTCTAATTAGAAAGATCCAATTTTAAAAAGTGAGCTTTGACCATAAAGAATGGGTACAATTTTGATAAGCAGATAGAAGAAAGGGCTTTCCAGGATGGGAGGAGAAAATATACAAGTAACTGGTTGGGGCAATCCCCAGCATATTACCTGAACTAGTGAGCTGGTTGCCTGTTGCAGGATGAGTGGACAAATGGGATTAGAAAGGGAATTTAAAGAAATATCATGGAAATCGTGGATGTCTTGCTAACGAATTTAGAACTATTTGATTTCATAAAAAGGAAGTAAATGGAGTGACATAAAAATATCATTGCTTTTTCTGTTTTTCTAGCAATTATTTTTTCCTAAATTTCACACTTTCTAAATGCAAATTCGATTTTAATGAGAAAGAACTAGCAGTCTTGTCTCTGAAGCTGGTTTCTTGCACTTAGAGTTGTGAGAAATGTGAATAGACTGAGACGTTAGGGGTGGAAGAGGCTCTAACTACTACTAAGTCCATCACCTTCGCTCATATGCACAGATTTCACTGATAAGGAAACTGAGGCTCAGGAAGTGTATAAGCTATAGTTGCTTTCATATTTATCACAATATGTAATTCTCATTTCTGCCCACATAACAGCAATAATAACCTATTTTATAATACATTATAGTCTTTACTTTCTAACGATTAGGATTAGTTTCTGAAAAACGTCATGGAAGAATGGTTTGTATTTCCAGAATTAAGACATTATGGAAAATAAAGACTTAGTATCAAGGAGATCAGGGGCAAAACCTAGGAAAGGTTTAATTTTTATGTTTACTAACATATAACAGTAAAAACAGAACACTCAATATAGATAGCACTAATGATATTTTATGCATGCTAAATTAGATTGGCCTCTGTGCCATTAATTTTTATTTACTACCTTTTGGAAGTTTCAGGGTTTCAGCTCCCTTGCAGCCTCTAGGATAGCCTTGTACATTTGTTTCATGGGCATGATGAAGGGCAAGAGGCTTTTGGTTTTGTGTCTTTCCTTCACATGAATGGTAATATCTTTCTGTTTTTATGATTACAGTATTTCAAAATTTCAAAAACACATAGGAACTATGACTATTTGAGATGGAAAAAGTTCTGGGTGACTAGTAAGTAGCTGGGCATACTTCAGACACCAAGGTTGTATTCTGAGCTTGGCTACTGAGAAGTTCAGGTCAAAGTTTTCATACTTAGCCTTAGGGCTCTCTCTCCCAGCACACAGAGGTCTCTACCCTTTTTTTTTTTTTTTTTAAATCTTGCCCCAGGCTTTATTACAAAAAACAAGCAAACAAAAACACTTCAGTTCCACCTGTGTGTTGACTCTTGATATTCCCGATCCTTATTTTATTCTCCTCTAATTACCCTTGAGAGTAGATTCACTAAATTTCCAAGTACTCAACTCAAACTTTTATAGTTGTTGTAAAGGTATACAAAAGCAAATTCTTTACAGAAAATTTTCATGGAAGGAAAGTTGTCACTGGAACAGATATTCCAGTCATAACTCCCCATATCCCAGCAACTCAAATATTACTGAGGCACTGGAATAAGAGCCCCAATGCATGATTTGCTTGAAAAGCATCCACTCCATTCCTTTCAGCAGACTGAGATCAAGCTTAGAAGACAAAAGTCTTGGAAATTATTTCAATTTCCATAGGTGAGGAACTTGTCCAGTTTGAAGACACATGCTTGGTACAAAAAAGACACTTGGGGTCAGGGGAAAGGGTCCACACAACTAACCTCAGTAGGGTTGATCTTTAGCCTAGTTTGCTTAGGAACTAAACTGTACCACTGACCCAGAAAAACAAACAAACAAACATAAACAAACAAAAAACATGTCTCTAGAGTCTCTGTAAAAATAGCACATTGTAAGCAGTCAGTTACTATGTGCTGCTCAGGAGATAATAGGACATCTTTTTTTTTTTTTGAGATGGAGTTTTCGCTCTTGTCACCCAGGCTGGAGTGCAGTGGCGCCATCTCAGCCCACTGCAACTTCCACCTCCCGGATTCAAGCAATTCTTCTGCCTCAGCCTCCCAAGTAGCTGGGATTACAGGAGCCCACCACCATGCCCAGCTAATATTTGAATTTTTGGTAGAAACAGGGTTTCACCACATTGATCATGCTGGTCTTGAACTCCAGGACACCTTTTGTGACTATGAAGAAAAAAGCAGCAGCCATAAATGGTGTTATGTGCTGAAGCATTTGCTGAGAAAGATAAACCCTGGGAATTTTGAGGGGAAGAAAGTTAACAGGTAATTTAGGTACATGTAACTACTTATTTACACCCTCCCCGCAACACATCCGTTTTTGAATCAGAAAAAAATAATTTGAACATGATCATCAATGTTAAGAATTTTAGAAGCTGTTTCAAATCTGTGATCTCAATGAACCAAATCACAGGTTTTCTTAGTAAGACAGAGCCAGTAGTACAATTCCCTTTAGGTAGAAGGAGAAAATGGAGCTCAAAAAAGGATTGGAACATATTCAGGTGCATATACACAATGTGAACACACATACGTGTGTGCGTATGAGTACACTTGCACACAGTAAGTCCATTATTCTGCCATCTCAACAGCAAATATGGCCGTGGCATAAGACACGGGCCACTGTCCAGAGCAAGCCACAGGCTGGTGTTCAGTTTCCTGAGATGCCTTTGCATAATGTGAAATGGAGGGTTTAAACAAGGCACAAGCCAGGATTTTGAGAAATAAGCAAGAAGTCTTTTCCTTTACCACAGTTTACATTTTTAAAATTTTACTTGTACTTTTATTGAGTTATAATTTGCCTAGAGTGAAAGGCACAGAACTTAAAAGCATAGTCCCATCATTTTTGACAAATCAATTTATACGCATAACCTCCAGCCCTATCAAGACACAGGACATTTCTATCAAGTCAGAAAGTCTCCTTGTGACCCTTCACAGTCAACACTGCCACCTCCAATGGCTTTCCTTTTAATGACTGGGTACTTCTAAACAGCCAAGATAACATTTTTTTATTATTGTTCATAGCAGGTAGACAACTCCAGGAAATTCATCATCAGTTTCTAAAAGTAATCTGTAAACCACACCCAAATATTTTTCTCTTAGGTAAGTTACCAGAATCTATTTATTTTTAAAATAGTACTCCTTCCCATAATCATTTTCTTACTCTGCTAAGTATAATGCCTTAATTGAAAATATGTAGTATGGTTTCATAGGACAGACAGTCATTGTACATGCTTATTAAATAAACATGCTATTTAACTATCTTATCCACCCTTAACACTGACTCTTACTTTGTAAATATATAGTGAATTATATGTTGTATTTGTCTGCCACTGATGGCTTTGTTAAATTTTTTAAAATTATTATTAATTTGATTTGGGGTTAACTCTTTATTGCTCAGATCCTACTTTCTCAATGATGTTTTTAGAAAACTTCTAGCAGAAAGGGTGGATAAATGTATTCTTTGGTCAATAAATGACTACCACTTTGAGATAGGTTTTCTTCATAGGAAAATCTCCTTAAGAAATAGAATCAGTGAATGCATTCTTACTGAAAATTATTAAATTGTTTCTTAAGCATGACTCTTGAGCATTAGTTCAAATGAAAACAGATTTTGAAAGATATTTGATCAGAGGATCAACCAAATTCTGAAATATTCAATTTCATTTTATTTCTTTATCTTTAATTTCATTACAGATGTCTTATAAATGTGTGATTAAAAAAATGAAAAATTATGTCAGTAAGTAAAAATCCATCACCTCAGCTAGAAGTGAAGAGTATGTATCACCAGCCAGAGGCTGTGATCACCACCTCCAAAGACAATGAGCCTCAGTGAACTATAAGCCATTTCAGCAATTATAGCTGTTTCACTCACTGTTGTGCTCTGAGAACCTAGTTCAGTGTTTGGCACATACAAGCACTCAATATATGTTGAAGAAATAACAAAATAAGTGGGGACAAAAACTGGTCCTCATCTGTCCTTAGTCCATTCAAGTTGCTATAACAAAAATACCATAGACTGGGTAGCTTAAACAACAAGCATATAGCAAACATTTATTTATCACAGTTCTAGAGGCTGAGAGGTCTAAGATCAAGGCACTAGAGATTCAGCTTCTGGTGAGGACCAACTTCCCGGTTCATTGATGGCAATCTTTTCTCTGTGTCCTCATGTGTCAGAAGAAATAAGGAAACTCTTTGGGGTCTCCTTTGTAAGGGAACCAATCCCATTTATATAGTCTCCACTCTCATGACCTAACCACCACCCAGAGGTCTCAGCTTCCTATACTGTCACATTGGGGGTTAGGATTTTAACATGTGAGTTTTGGGGGCATATAACATCAGTCCATAACATCATACAACATTATACCTCTGTTATCCAGCATGCCTGCCACATAAAAGCTACTCAATATCTTATTGAATAGAATTATCCACACTTAAATGGTAAGGGGCTGAGAAGGCATGGTAAATGTATCTGAAGCCACATCTCAGAAAGATGTTTTGAAATCATTATGTTCAAGGCAGTGACTTGGTACTTTGCAGGTCAGTGAACACAGTCAGTATGTACTATGACATATGTTGGATTTGGAAGCTTACTCTGTCACCTACTAACCACGTGACCGGGGACAAGTCTTTTAGCCTCATATAATGTAAATCTGTGAAATGGGATTAAAATAACTCACCGAGATATGAAGATTAAATGGGAACTTTCATGGGAAAGTTTCTGCACAATGCTTGGCACAGAGGGATTGGGACACTCTCTTCTTCCCTTTATCTGAAGGAGTAGCTTTCCTTAAAATGTGGAATACTCATGAGATTATGAAAAAAAGAGTGAGGCTGAAGTTAGCGCCTTCCACCTTTATTTATTTTCTGTCTGTGACTTCTAGTTCTATTTCCTTACAGACAAATGTGAGTTATTACTCCTATTAGCACTGCTGAGCTGTTGCCACCATGCTAGAGCAAGCTGGACTCACTCTGAGTGTTGTTAAAAGCTCTGCCAGCTGAGTGCATCCTGGGTTTCCTTCACAAACTATAGAGTTTCTGACTATGGGAGCTCACAAGCACAGCATTAATCTTGAGCCCTAGCCTGAAGCTTTGGTCATGCCAATATGAGATTTGGCAGGACCATCACTGAAATAAAAGATTAAGTTAAAATAATATGCAGTTTCCAACCTAAGCCACTGACTAAGAGAAGAATCCATCTCTGATAAAGAACTGCTATTTTATAATCAGCAAAGGAACCTTAACCAAGTTCATTCTGAAAATATTCTTCAGGTACTGATAAGTCAAAGGGAATACATTTTTTAAAAATTTATACTCCTGGATAAAGGAATTTATTATACTTTTATACTATAAGTTCAAGAATGATTTACTCACAATTTAGTAATAACTTTGTGAAAAGTACAGTAAAATGTGTGAGCAGTTTTAGTTATATATATTATTTGTTGGACTCTAAAGTATTCTACAGGTGTTTTGATATATGCCTGTTTGGGGTTAGCAATGTACTTTTCAGGATAAACATCACATAAGGATTACACATTTATCTTCTCACCAAAACAGGCTCCTCTAGTCCTCTAGTGTATGTAAATATCACTGGTCACCTTTTTCGCTTAAGCTAAATGTGATAGTTCTGACTTCACTCATTTGCTTTCACTTTCTAGCAGCCTCCCCGTGTTAGCCTTGCCACAAGGTCAGTCTTCTATTTGGTAGGTTTTATAAATCCTAAAAGTTCTAGTTCAAAAAAAGTTCTAATAAACCAAGCATGGATAATTTCATTCATTTCTTCTGAGGTTGCAGAATTTGCATCCATTTTTTCAGCAGCTGTCAAAACTGTTGCAAAAGCCTATGAACAGTACACAAGGTTGATTAGCCTGCAACACTCTAGGTGCAATTTATATGCTATGCAGATGTCTGGGGTGATATTTGGAATGCACCCTTCTTTGCTTTTCAGTGCTTCATTCTTTAGATAATAGTAAGGATTGTTGAGTGCAGTATGGAGGGCAATTCATGGAGCAGCATCTAAATGCTCACGAAGGGCATGGGCAGCACTGAAGCGGACCACCTCATGGAGAGGCTGTGTCTCAGGAGGCAGAAGCTGTTCTCTCACTAGACAGTCATGAAGTTCACAATATTTTCTCTGAGTACTTCAAATTTGGTTTGCTTCTTACTTCCACTTGACTCCTTCATTTCCTGTAAAGACTTCTGAAGATGATAGAGGTCTGTCTTCTGAAGCCCCTTTGACTGACCCAGAAGCATCTTCTTCCTCTTTGGTTTCATCGAAGCTCTGAAACTGGGCCAGGAACTTCTCTATTCTCTTAGCTGTGCTGCCAAGGTGATTTTCACAAGAGGATTTAAAAACCTTGAAACATTCCTCAAGTATGGTCATCAGTTCATCGTTTGCCAACATCTTCAGCAGCTATAAGACTGATGCATACTCCTCTGAATTCCGTATGTTCTTTTCTAAACATGTGCGGTACAACTCTCTGATCTGTCAACCTTGTGGATACTTGGGAAGAGAAGAGGTGAACTTATGAAGACATCTCAAAACCGGGAAGTAATTCCTATGATACACATGAAGGTTTTCTAGTAATAATTGTGTTTCCTCCTTCAAACATCTCTCATTGGTCAAGAGCGCAACTTGCTTTTCTATGTACCTCCTAAAAGATGGAAGACGTCTGATGTTTTCCCATTGATTGTTTGATAAAAAATTTATTCTTCTTTTGGCTTCTGGAAGATTACAGCACAGGACACTTAAGGGCTGGGAATAGAAATGCTCTAATAGAGAAAGCTGGTCCTTTTATAAAGTTTTGAATTTAGAAATCATGATACAAAAAGATGTTCGTCAGAACCTGCATGCTTTTTCATTTATTTTAAAGGGAAACTGAGTTGTAAGAAGTAGCTTATTGAGTACCATAGTCAGGTGCTCCTTGCAAGACAAAACTTGGAACAGTTCTATGCACAATAGAGATGATAATGCATGAGGAAACAATCGGCGGATGATAATAGATATGGCAATTCAAAAAATGAATATTAGTGAAAATTCATGCAGATGTTGACTGTTGATAATTATGAAGTCTTGCAGTACTTTTGTGGCAAAGCTTTCCATATCCTTTAAGATAACCACAACAGGAGGAGACTGCCATTGGCTAGAAGTAGTCCTCTTTTTGCTTGGCATTTTTGGGTCTGTCTTCTGTGTGACAGTCATATACCAACTGGAAAGTGAGTCCATTGAATAATGTATCTTTCTCTGGGTGAGCTGAACACTTTCCCCCTCTTTGGATTTTATATCTACACAGCAGTTCAACAATTGTGAGATCAACTTTTGCAAAAAGAATGTTTCATATCTGGACAGTCTTTAGTTTGCAATGAGACTACATATGGTGCGACTTTATTCTGAAGGGCCTCTGTTAGACTTCTGAATGTTAAATCATGATCTGTGACATTCACACCAAGAACAAGAGCAGCAGTTGGAATTTCTCTGAGTTTTATTTGACAGCCCAAGTCTCTTGAATTCTTCTGGAATCCAGAATGAGATTTTTGCAGAAATTCAATTAGATTGTCAAACAAGTTTTTATTTAATTCTTCTTGTAGTGGCTCATTTTCACATTTCATTTGCTGCCATATCAACTAAGTTCCAAATTGAAGCTTACTGTCCTTAGACTCATTTTTCCCTTTGTTAAAATAGTCCTCCATTGGCACAGAGATCTTTCTCTTTTTGGAGTTTGGCTTAAACACAAAGCAGCCCTTAGACACTGAGGAAGTGGTTATGGTCCTACTGGCTCTGTGGATTCCGGATGCACCGGGAATACCTTTTGACTGTGATCCTGAGTGGAGAGTTGAAGAGTACAGGTTAAAGAGAGTACTGCAATTTCAGAACACTAGTGGATTCTATTGTCCTTTTGTGATTAGACTTATTTCAAGGTCATATCAGGTAGTCTCCTGATGGTACTTGATAGGACACTTTAAGTACATAGATGAGGGCACTAGCATTTTGAGCTGCATGGCCTGGTCTTACTGATTTCTTTTAGACCAGCATCTTTAGTGAAGGTACTTACCTCTTCTATCACATCCTTCCATGTAGCCCACTTCCCAGTTACGCTGGTGCACACCTAATATCCTAAAACCCAAGCCCATCTAATACATATACCCTCAGCTCATATACACCCTTTTTCTTTGGTCTTCCTACCTTTACATGTACTAGTTTATAATTTAGAATATTCTCACCATCTTTTTTCCCTAGGGATATCTCTCACTTCCTTTGAGACTCTTGGTTCTTCCTCTGACCTCCCATAAGACACTCAGTTTATAGCTTTATAATAGATTTTGCTTGTTATGTCTTCCTATGTAGAGTTTTTACATGGCTGAATGTACACAGTGGTTAAGGAAATGAATCATAATAGATATTCAACAAATATAACAAATAGATATCAATAAATATTCAACAAATAGATATTGGACAAATATTCAACATAAGAGATATCAAACAAATATTTGTAAAATACATTAAGACAGTTTTTTTTTTTTAAGTTATATACCAATCTGGGGCATGAATTAGCGTAATTTGTGGGTACTGGGATGGGGAAAGGATAGGAAAGATATGGCTGAGGTAAGAAGATTGACTACATACCTCTCTCTAACTTCATGGGGTGGAGACTTTCTTCTTTGAAGTTTTATTTAAGACGGAGTCTTGCTCTGTTGCCCAGGCTAGAGTCAGTGGCGTGATCTCAGCTCACTGCAACCTCTGCCTCCCAGGTTCAAGCAATGCTGCCTCAGCCTCTTGAGTATTTGGGATTACAGGTGCCCGCCACCATGCCTGGCTAATTTTTGTATTTTCGGTAGAGGCGGGGTTTCACCATGTTGGTGAGGCTGGTCTTGAATTCCTGACCTAAGGTGATCCAACTGCCTCAGCCTCCCAAAGTGCTGGGATACAGGTGTGAGTCACCATGCCTAGCCCTGAAGTTTTAACATATGGTAAAAATCAAGATCAACACTGACATTGTCCTAAATATCATCTATCAACCTCTTATGAAATAACAGTCACATTGCCAGTTAGTTTATCTCATTCTAAGCCACTACTTAAATTGTAAATAGTAATTCGTGTGAATTTGCCTAGTGTTTTATGGTTTCCTAAGTGCATGTATATTCTGTGATCATTGAAATTAGTATTGTATAATGGTTAACTGCACAGACTTCAACTTTCCTTGAATTCTAATCCTGGCTGTATCATTCATTGATTTTTAACCTTGGGCAAGTCTATTAACTTCCCGGAAACTCTGTTTCCTTGACCACAAAATAGAGATAGAACATTCCTTATGGGGCTGTTGTGTTTATGAGTGGGTCTCTAATACACACTACATATGTTGCATTTATTTTTGATTCACAGGAAGCAACAGGAAGTTGTGTTTATGAGTAGATCTCTAATACACACTACATATGTTGCATTTATTTTTGATTCACAGGAAGCACAGGAAGCAATTAAAAATGTTAATGATAATGTGGATAATCACCTTTTTTGAATTTCACATACAAGTCTGTGAAATAAGAGGAGATTTTATTATCCTCCATTTAGTGGATAGAGAAATTGAGACTGTTACCATTAAACTTCTAGTGCTTAAGTAACTTTCCCGAAGACCCAATTACAACTTGAAGGTAGAAATTTTATCCCAGGTTTTCAGATTCAGAATTCAGCATTTTCCCACTGTAATAGATTCCCTACAACCTAAAATAATGTCTCATTGTTCTTTCTTTGGTTTACTGCTCTTTGTAGACTCGGCTTAAGTTTGTGAAAGGCAAGTGTGAGGGAAAGGAGAGATTTGTGTTTAAATGAAATGCAGGTATGAAAAAAAATGAATTTAACTGTTCATCCCTACTGAGCAAGTTTGAAGAAAAGAAATTTTCCTATTCTCTGCAAACTATTCCCAGTTACCATGAACAGTCAGTGAAAAAAAAAAATTGGCTCCATTACTTTATTAAGCATCTTTTGAAAGGATATCAAAAGAACTTCATTTATAAAATCTTGTAAAGGTATGAAAACATTACCAACTACAAAGATAAATGGTTGAAATGAAATGGGAACTGATCTTTTTTGACAAGAATTTCAGTTTGATAACCCTGGCTGTTTTTCCCTTAAATGTACCTTCTGAGGATTTGGCATTAATCAAACCACATTTTAAATATACTGTTACATTAAGGAATGCACATTTGTCCTCAGAGATAATGTTCAGTCTTTTTTACTCTTTATCAAAGCACATTTTAATTGACTGGGAAATTAATACATTTCCTGCATATAATATGGAGAAATATGTTCACAAAAATAAATATTATAAAAAGAGGTTTATACCAAAAATGTACAGCTAGATCTAGTTGCAGAGCTATACAACTTGGCTCTGTTTGAGACTACATCTAGTTTAATGTAACTTGGATCAGTTTTAGCAACTAGCTAGCACTGTAGAGAAGACATCAGGATTTTATACACACATATATACACACATTGTGTATATACAGATATATATATACACACACATATATATTTGAAGAGAAGCTATATATATATATATATATATATATATATATATATATATATATAGCAGCAATGTTTACCCTCTTGACCAGGAACATTAGATGCATCTGTATATTAAAGTGTGACATGGAAGTAGCTCCTGTCCGAAAACCGTCCTCAGTCTGTTAAGCCGTGTTGATCTCAGAGAGGTGATGGAGAAAAGAGAAGTCATCCCTCATTCTAAGACTTTTACTAAAAAGACTCCACATCCAGGGCATGGTAGTATATATCATAATTTTATTTTTAAAAGAGAGAGAAATGGCAGAAATAAAACTTTGCTCTTCTTGCTTTTAAAGGTCAGAAATTCTAATCAGTTATGTTGAAAATTAAATAATAAATAAAAATAATAGCATCAATGATTTATATTTGTATCATGCTTTACCGTTTTCAAAGTGTATTTATAGCCACCATTTCAAGTGATCCTCACACCAACACTGTTAAGCAGGATTTAAGTCAACACTACTCTGCTAAGATATGACTAATGAAGTAGAAACTATTACTAGTTCCATTTTACAGATAACATTTTTTAAAATGAGTTTCTGAGAGGTCAGATGATGTGCCCAAAGTTATGCTAATAAGTGGTCCAGCTTAAACATGAATCCATTCAACTTGAATCAGAGTATGGTATTGGCTCCATTGGACAGTGAGATTGTTAAATCCCACTGCGCTCGTTGGCATGGAAAGCCTAGAAGTCAGCAAAAGTCATTTCTCTTGTGAGTCAAAATGGCATGCCCAGATTTTGACACTTTTCAAATTAAATGCTTTTCTATGTTACCATTGCTTATTGTTCATTTCTTTACCACATAGCACCCAGTATAGAATAGCATACAGTACATTTGGTTTACTATCCATCTCTCTCTTGAAACTTGAGTTACACACACAATTCAGGGCAAGGGCCTAACAGTTTATCATGTGTTCCCATTACAAGATTTAATATAGTAATTTCTGATTCTCTTTCCAGCCTTAAGATGGCATCCAGCCAGAAGCTGAATGTTCCTCTACCTTCAGTAGACAGTTTACAAGCTGAACCCCTCCAAGCATTAGTCCTTGCTCTGACTTGAGAGTCAGCTCACACTCAGAATTCTGAGTTTTATGCCTATTTTTAAAGCTGAGGACTCCTCTTCCTGAGTTTTCCTACCTTTCAGCAGGAGCAAGGTGTATTAGTCTGTTCTCACGCTGCTAATAAAGACATACCTGAGACTGGATCATTTATAAGGGAAAGAGGTTTAATGGATTCACAGTTCCACATGACTGGGGAGGCCTCACAATCAGGTGGAAGGCAAATGAGGAGCAAAGTCACATCTTACATGGTGGCACGCAAGAGAGCTTGTGCAGGGGAGCTCCCATTTATAAAATCATCAGATCTCGTGAGATTTATTCACTACCACAAGAACCATATGGGGGTAAGTGCTCCAGTGATTCAGTTATCTCCACCTGACCCCATCTTTGACACGTGAAGATTATTAAAATTCAAGGTGAGATTTTGTTGGGCACCCAGCCAAACCATATCACAAGGGAACTTCTCTCTGCCTCCTTATTGACTCTTCTCCATAGCAGTCTGCACCTGTTAATCACTTCAAGAATGAACATCTTACCATTATTCATGTTGCCTTTGGAATTATACAAGTTGATTATCCTGCTGGTGGCGCTGTGGTGGAAGCGTTCTGAAAACAGGCACGTTTCCACACTAGGTAATATTCTAGGTAATGTGAATCTCATGGCTGTTACACAAAGAGGTAAATAGAGGCGGCGCCTTCCACTGTGTGCTTTAATCATTCAAACTGCCGCCCATTGCTGATATTGGGCACTTGGGCTGTTTCTTCCTAATTCATTCGTCTCCGTATTTTTCATTTGATACCCTTTTCCTTCTGATCTAATGTCTCTAGTCACTAAATTTACTTTCTCACAGTCCACTGATACCTATAACTTATCTCTACTGCAATTTACGTTTACTTTTCATCCCTTAAATCTGCTGATTTCTTCATCCACTTGCTTAACAAATATTCAAAGGTTCAAAATGATTTGACTTTCTAAAAATTAGTAAACTTTACTTTTAGAGAATTTTTAGGTTCACAGCAAAACTGAGCAGAAGGTACAGTGATTTCCCATATATCACCTAACAACAGTTGTACATAGTCTCTTCCTCTATTGATGCCCTGCACCACAGAAATACATTTGTTACAGTCAATGGACCTACATTGAGACATTGTTACCACCTGAGGTCCATAGTTTACTAGGGTTCACTCCTGGTCTTGTACATTCTAT